AAGAGAGAGCAGCATGCAAGGGTGTGAATAACAAGATATCATTGGGCATCATGTTACAAATTGACAACATATGTGCCCATGTGAATATAAACAAGAGCTAATTTTTAGTACTGTCTCATTCCAGTAAGAGTGGCAAAGTTTAACAGGACAGCAAGTAATAGATGTTGGAGAGGATGTAGCAAGAAAGGAACTCTTACACATTGTTGGTAGGATTGTGAAATGGTGCAGCCATATTGGAAGGCAGTTTGGCGCTTCCTCAAAAAGCTGAACATAGAAATTCCATATGATCCAGCTACTTGGAATACACCCTGAGAATATGAAAACTGAGGAACAAACAGATTTGTACACCACTGCTCATAGCAGCACTATTCACCATCACAAGAACATGGAAACAGCGCAAATGTCTAACCACAAATAAATGGATTGAGTAATTATGGTACATTCACACAATGGAACACTATGCAACACACAGGAGCAAGAACTTTTTTACCTAACTTGAGAGGGACTGGAGAGCATTATGCTGAGTGAATTAACTCAGTCCCACAGGATAAATATTGTATAAGACCGTTATTGCAGAATGAGTATAAGGATACCAGAGGGGTAGGAGAGGCTGGAAGCAGAGGGAAGTGCATGTGCAGGGTGAAGAGAGGATTAATCATTGGGTTATACAATTTGATGGGTGGGGAGGTGAGGGAAATTCAAAGAATTTGTTCGAATTTGTGTTAGAATTTTGTAAATAAACTAGTGAGAAAAAAACAAAACAAAAAACCTATACACAGTACACAGGAAAAGAAAAAAGGAAAAGAAAAAAAAAAGCTGCTTTTGAGAGCCCAGGCCTGAGAAAGAAGGCAGGAACTTATTTTCCTTTCAGTTCACCTCACCAGAGAAGCCACCACCAGATCAGTAGTGACAGAAGTCATTAATATAGTTGACAAGAGCCAATGGTTTTTCTCAAGACAGAACTGGACCCTCACAGTACACTGTGAGGTAGAGAGAACAACTTCTTGGGTCTCTTGCTACGTGGCTGATAGACTATCATGGGCCACAATAAAAGTCAACTGAATGCCACATAACAACAACAACACATCAAAAGAGACTGTGGAAAGTCTTTCTCAACTGATTAACAGTGAATCCCACTAGCTTGAACATAAAATGCCAGGTTTCAAATTGAGGGTCAGGGCACTATGGCTTCTTCTGGCCTCAAGGTGAAGCATTTGGGTCTGATGGCAGCCCTCTAGTGGCCAAAACTGGAGAAAGACCTGCAGAAAAGTACTTGGAAAGAGAGATTGTGCCATATGGGGACAAGGGAAAGACACTCTAGCAGTGGTGAGATGGCAGAGTGGTACTCAGAACCATCATAAGTTGATTTTTAAAATAAGTTTGACTTCATGAGTGTCTTAAGTGTGTATGTATGGCAGCTGTATGAATAATTATCATCATCATCATTACTGACGGCACTGTGAGAGTTTACAGTGGTACTTGGCTTGGGCTAAGTCAATGAAGTAGGTAACATAGTTGTTCCATCTTATAGGTAGGGAAACTGAAGCACTGAATGATTTAAGAGACCTCTTATGCTCACACTGGCCGAATGGGATGGACAAGGCTATTATGTACAGCCATATGAGATGAGCAATGAAGATTCTTCAGCAAAGAATATTCTCGTAGACCAAAATGCGAACCTATACCCTGAGACCGGGTAGTACAGTATTCCTGGAAGCAGTACAGGATGGACACTCTCTCTCCTGCTCATTTGTCCACATACAGAGAGCTCAACACTATCGGTACTTAAGCCTCTCCTTCCAAATGTATTATCTACAGTATGCAGAGATTGCACAGAAATGTCAAGTTTAAGTCAAGTCTCTATGAAAGAAAAGCATACTAAGTATACTGAGACCCAGTGCTTGCAAAATAAAGGGATAAAAGGCCACCCTGAAAAAGCAGGTACCTGCAGAGATGTGGACAATGGGAGCCCTTGTGATTGGTGGAAAGAACCAGCACCTAAAAAATGGCAGCCCTAAAAGGATTACCTTCTCCCCCATCTGGCCACCACCCAAACGTTTTTACTCCTTATTACTACTCCTGCTTCTAAGAGCTGTTTGTAACCTGAGAGCAGTATTTGTCAGCAGCTGTGACCCACATATGAGGGACATGGAGGTTCAAGGGCAGGCTATTTACCTGTCTTGCTGAAAGCCTGCATTCAATTCTCAGCCAATGTTCTCATGTGCAGCCATTACCCTGGAGAAGGCTGCACGCTGCTTTGATAGAAAATAACTTTCATCTAATCCAAACTGGGTGGAGCTGCAGCAAACAGCCACTACTAATTGGAATGTGGAATATATGAAGCATGAATGTAGGAAAATTGGACATTGTTTTAAAAAAATGGAATGTATAAATATTGACATACTAGGCATTGGTGATCTAAGATGGATTGGCATGGGCCACTTTGAATCAATCACATGGTTTATTATGTCTGGAATGAAAAAATGAGGGGAAATGGGGTTACATTCATAATAACAACATTGTGTTAACAAATTATCTTTAAAACAATGAGAGGAAAGGAAGAGTCTGCTACAGGATGGATGGCTGTCCATCCCTGCGACCTCCCCTCTAGCTACATTCTGGTCACACATTGTCCCAGCAACTTTTAGCACCAAGTGGGCAAGTCGAACAAAGACCCTGATTTCTGGAACTGGGAACTAGCTGGTGAGCACCAGAAAGTGCCCAACAACAGGTTCCCTCCTGCAGCTTCATGATAGGAATGCTGACCCTCACTCCATGAAAGAGGGAGCTACCCGGCATTTCCTCCCCTGCCCAGTTCCTCGCACCAACAATTGCTACAGGGAACACAGACACTAAACCCTTGACACATTCTACTTCCAGACAGTCTGGCACCCCCATCGGGCACTGCTGCCAATTAGGGTGCTTGCAAATGGAGGTGATAAAGGGCTTCCCTGGAGAGACAAGGCTTCAGTTTGTAGAGAAATGGAGTGCAGTGGGCCTGGCCCCTCAGGCAGGGTCAGCAAAATAAGTTAAAGTTTGCCATTTCAAGATGAACAGAAGAAGAAAACAGGTGCTATAAATACCATGTTGCTTTGGGCAATACGGTTAGATCACGACAAACCAAGGCCTCAGCAAGATGCATGCCAGGAGTCTGACACTCTAGGCCTGACTGACTGACAGGAAGACAAATACTTCGAAATCCAACCCCTCAGCCAGGCCCTGCCCTGCGCACGCTCTCATAAACTGCACATCAAAGACAGAGACAGCCAGCCTGGGGGTAAGAAAAGAGAGCAAAGACCTGGCAGAGGAGAGGAGGGCAGCTGCCAGGCCTTGGACAACTCGCCAGAGCTCCTTCTGAAGTAGCTCTGCTCTTGAACCGCCACAGCTGCAGAAGGGTCAAGTGAGACAGTGTCTTAGACAAGACCGACCTCACCAGCCCACCGTTTCACTCTCCCAGGAATTCACTAAGGCAGGACTGAGTATCTCTGCTTTGCAGATGCAGAACAGTGAGGTCAGAAGAGTGAGGTCACTGGCCTGAGGTCCCTGGAGTGTAATCAGGTGTAAATATGAATGTTCCCAACTCTGAAGCATATGCTTTTATTCCCTTTGCTGCTGTCAAGGTTGTGGTGATGTCACAGTGAATATCACTCAGCCTCTCCCTTCATGACAGTTTGGCAGGGAATGAGCCACACAGGCTAGTGCGCTCTGCTGGCTCATGTCTCCACCGGGCTGGAGAAGCCTCCTGAGAGCAGAGTTTGTCCACATGAGGGATGTGGTGGTTCAAGGGCAGAATGTTTGCCTGTCTTGCTGGAGGTCTCGGTTCAAGCCTCAGCCAGCTTCTTCATATGCAACCTTTACCCTGGGAAAGCCTGCATGCTGCTTTGATAGAAAATAGCTCTCATCTGATCCAAACTGTTCATAAAGTAAATCCTGAAATTTTTCAGTGTCAATCAGTTCTTTCTGGTGCAGTGATTTTTTTGTGTATTCTTTCCATCTTCTTTTGATGCTTTCTGAGTCATTCAGTATGATGCCCTTAACGTCTTTCAATATTGCCACTCAAGGTTTAAATTTGTTTTTTGTTTTTTTCAGCTAGAGAAATGCAGAGTCTTTTGAAGACGACACACCTTGCTTGCTGACAGTGAGGAGGACTTGAAGCTCTTGTATAAGATCAAGGAATGCAGCTTTTGGTATGGATTGCATCTTAATGTCATAAAACAAAGATTCTTACCACTGGACCAATAGGCAACACCATGATGGATGGAGAGGTGATTGAAACTGTAAACAGCTTCATCTTGTTTGGATCCATATTAGCATCCTTAGTACCAGCCGTCAGGAAATAAGGAGGTGCATTGCACTAGGGAAATCTACAGTTAGTGACCTCTACAATTTATTGAGGAGTAATGATGTCTGTTTGAGGACTAAGGTGCATCTGATTCAGGCCATAGTCTTTCTGATCACTTGCTATTTATCTGAGATCTGGACAATGAATAAGAATGACAGGAGAAGAATTGATGCCTTTGATCTGTGGTGTTGGAAAAGAGGACTAAACATCCCATGGACAACCAAAAGAACAAACAGATATGTCTTGGAGAATGCACAGTCGGAGTGCTCTTGGGTGGCAAGAATGATGAGGATTTGTCTCACATACTTTGAGCATGTTTCTAGGAGGGGCTATTCCTTGAAGAAGGACATAATTATATTGGGAAGGTGGGAGGGTCTGTAAAGGAAAGGAAGACTCTCAATCAGTGGATCAACTTAGTGACTGCGGCTCTGGGGGGTTTTTTGTGTCTGAAAGTGGTCCAGTATAGAACAAGGTTCAGATCTTTTGTTCATAGCATACCTATGAACTTGACTCAGTGACACCTAAAACCAACAACAACAACAACAATCCAAACTGGGAGGAACTGCAACAAAGAGCCACAAATAACTGGAACATGGAACATGTGAAGTACGAATGTAGGAACATTGAACATTGTTTTTTAAAAATGGAATGTATAGACATGCCGGCCGCCGCCCTCAACGCGGCTGGGAGTGTCCACTCTCCATCCACCAGCATGGCCATGTCCTCCCAGTACCGCCAGCTGCTGAGTGACTACGGGCCACCGTCCCTCGGGTACACCCAGGGCACTGGGAACAGCCAGGTGCCACAGAGCAAGTACGCCGAGCTACTGGCCATCATTGAGGAGCTGGGCAAGGAGGTCAGGCCCACCTACGCGGACAGCAAGAGCGCCATGGAGCGGCTGAAGCGAGGCATCATTCACGCCCGAGGTCTGGTCCGGAAGTGCTTGGCCAGGCTGAAGGCAACGCCAAATCCTAGTACCTCGCTGGCCTTCGGGATTGTCCATCTCTTCCCAAGATGAGAAGGGCCCACTCACTCAATCTCCCGTTTTCTTTCTTTTCAAAGTTCTGACTTCTGACTTTGCTGTTTCTTTTTCTTCTCTTTCCCATTTCCCTTCTCTGGTTCACAGGCCGTGAACCTCCCGTCTCTGAGGGTGGGAGGGTTTGCGTTTGGGTAGGATCTGCCTTTTCAGTAGATAGGCACTCCCCAGGTTTGGGTCTCCCTTCCCAAGTCTTGATTTACAAACAACGAGCAAAGTGACCAGTTCTGTGGCAAACTGTAGCTCCCATATGTCTCATCTCCCTCTGCTCTCCCGCTTACGTGAATGTCACCGAAATTGTCCTTGCCCCACCGCTCACCCCATAAGCTAATAGCAGCCTTCAAGATCTTGTTTGTTCCATGAATACTGACCGCGCGCTTTCTTAGTATCTGAGCCCTCCAGTGGCCATCCAGCGTAGATTCTGCTCAACAAAACTCTTGATTAAGCATTTGCATGACTTAGAGTGCTTTAAAGTCAATACACACACACACACACACACACACACACACACACGTTTTAAATACACACACACACACACGTTTTAAATACAAAGAACATCAGGCCAAATGCATCAAAGACCCCACCACCCCTTGAAAATTTTCACACAGAGATGGTCTTGGTGATTTCAGTTGTGCGTTAATGTTGATTACACGCCATAGGAGGAAGAAAAAGACTCACAGTGTTGGCATCTTTGTATGTATTTATTTCTTGAGGTAATAAAGCTTATTTTCATTAAAAAAATGGAATGTATAAATATTGACATAGTAGGCATTGGTGATCTGAGATGGATTGGCATGGGCCACATTGAATCAGACATCACATGATGTATTCTGCCTGGAATGAGAAAACGAGGGAAAATGGGATTGCATTCATAGTAAAAAAGATCATTTTTAGGTTCATCCTGAAGTAGAATGTTATGATTGACAGGATACTATCCATATACATACAAGAAAGACCTATTAATACCACTATCATTCAGATGTATGTACCAAAACTAAATACAAGATTTCTACCAACATTTATAGTCTGAGATCGATCGAACATGCAACCAAGATTCATGAATAGTAATTGGTTACTGGAATGCAAAAGTTGGAAACAGGGAAGAAAGATCTTAGAAAATAGAGACTTAGTGACAGAAGTGAGGCTGGAGAAGATAGAAGATAGAATTTTGAAAAATCAGTGATTTATCCATTGCAAACACCCTTTTTTAAACCACAAAAAGTGACTACACACATGGACCTCAGCTGATGGACTACACAGGAATCAGATTGATTACATCTGTGGAAAGAATCATTGGAAAAGCTCAATATCAGCTGTGAGAATTAGGCCAGGTGCTGACTGTGGAAAAGATTATCACCTACTTCTGTGCAAGTTCAAACAGAAGCTAAAGAACATTTTTTAAAAAAATATCCACAAAACCCAAACATAACCTTGAGTTTATCCTAAAATCACCTGAAGAACAGGTTTGGGGCCTTGAACTCTAATGAAGGAAGACCAGATGAGCTCTGAGGTAATATCAAGAATATCATCCATCAAGAATGCAGAAGGTCCTTACAGAGACAGAGAAGGAAGAAAAGACCAAGATGGATGTCAGAGGAGACTCTGAATACTGCACTAGAGTGCTGAGAAGTCAAAGCAAAGGGAAGGAATGAGGAAGGTAAAGAGTTGAGCAGATTTTAAAGGACAGCTCACAAAGACAAAGCATTCTAACAAAATGTGCAAAGAGCTGGAGTCTAAAAATGAAAAGAAAATCATCCCCATTTCTCAAGTTGAAGGAACTAAAGAACAAGTTCAATCTGTGACTTATGATACTTAAGGATGCTATGGGCAATAAATTGGATGATCTAGGAAGCATCACAAAAAGGGGAAAGAAATACACAGTCACTGTATCAAAAGAACTTTTTCAGGAAATAGCATACGATAAGGGAGCTCTGGTGGCCTAGTGGCAAGAAACTGCACTGTAATCCTGAAGGCACACAGTTCGAGGCCACCAGCTGCTCCATGGGCGAAGAATCGGAAATCTCCTCGCATACAATTAACTGCCTCTGAAAAACCTGCCAGAGGGTCAGGTGTGGGTCAATTCCAACTCTACGGTACACATCAATAACAACAGCATATAATAAAGAACGAATGATGATGAAAGAGGAAGTTCAAGATGCTCTGAAGCAATTAGCAAAAATCGAGTTGCCAGGAGTTGACAGCATACCAATTGACATATTTTAACAAACAGATGGAGCCCTGAATGTGCTCACCAGGTTGTGCCAGGAAATATGGAGGGCAGCCTCCTGGCCAACTGACTAGAATGGATCTATATTTATTCCCATTAAAAAAAAAAAAGATGATCCTACAGAATGTAGAAATTATTGGACAATATCATTACTATCATAATGAAGCCAAATCTTGCTAAAAGTTACAAAATAATGATTAGAACAGCAAATCGACAGAATATCAAAAATACAAGTTAAGTTTAGAAGAGGCCCTGACATGTGGGATACTATTGCTAATGTCAGATGGATATTGGCTGAAAGCAATGAGTACCAGAAGGATGTCTATGTGTGTTTTATCAACTATGCAAAAGCATTTGACTATATGGATCACAACAAATTGTGGTTAACATGGAGAAGAATGGGAATCCCAGAACATCTGATTGAGTTTATGTGAAACCTATACCGAGTACAAAAAGCTGTTGTCCGAACAGAGCAAGAGAACACTGTTGTTGTTAAATGCCGTCCAGTCGCAGGTGACTCATAGCGACCCTTTGAAGGAGAGTCCTCAATGCTTGGGTGGCTTTCATCCTCTCTCCAGGTTCATAGGGTTTCCAGAGGAGAGCTAATATGGAAGTAGATGCCACTCCTCCTTCCAAGCTTGTTTTAATCGGGGAGCTCCACCCCACTCTCTCTCGGCATTGGGATATGGTTCAAGATCAAGAAAGGAGTGTGCCAAGGGTCTATCTTTTCTCCATACCTTTTCAATCTACATGCTGAGCAGATCATTCTGGTCTTTATGAAAAAGAATGTGACCTAATTATGCAGATGGCACCACTTTACACATAAAAACTGGGAACTTGATGCATTTGCTGGAGAAAGTAAAAAGAAAAAAAAAATAAAGCCTTCAATACAAATTGCACCTCATCATGAAGAACACAAAGATTCCCACCACCTGGCCAATAGACAGTACCATGACAGATGGAGAAGGATTGAAGTTGTTAATTATTTCATCTTATTTGGATCTACAATCAACATTCTTGGCACCAGCAGTTAGAAAATCAAAAGATACAGTGGAATGGGAAAAATCTACTGTCAAGGACCTCTCCAGAGTGCTAAAGAGAAATAATAGAGATAGTTGTTTTTCAGTGCTGCATGGTATTCCATTGTGTGAATATACCAGAGTTTCTCTATCCATTCATTTATTGATAGCACTTGGGTTGTTTCCAGCTCTTTACTGTTGTGAACAAAGCCTCAATAAACATGGGCGTGCATATATCTACTTGAGTGGTAGTTATGGTTTCTTTAGGGTAAATTCCCAGAAGTGGAATTGCTGGGTCCAGTGGTATTTCTTTTTATTTGCAACTTTTTGAGAAAGTGTCATACAGCCTTCCATAGTGGTTGCATGATTTTACACTCCCACCAACAGTGAATAAGAGTTCCAGTTTCTCCACAACTTCGCCAATATTTGTTGTTTGCTGTTCTGTTAAATTTTGCTATTCTTACTGGAGTGAGATAATATCTCATAGTTGTTTTGATTTGCATCTCTCTTAGAGCTAGGCATTTTGAACATTTCCTCATGTGTTTGTTGGCCATCTGAATGTCTTCTTTGGTGAAGTATCTGTTCATATCCTGTGCCCATTTTTCAATTGGGTTATTTATCTTTATCTTGTTGTGGTGCTTGAGTATTTTATAAATTTTAGATATAAGTCCCTAAGTGGATGACCCTAGAGGACATTATGCTGAGTGAAATATCTCAGTCACAACAGGACAAATATTGTATAGGGCCACTATTGTAAAATAGGACTGACACTAGGGTTGAGGGAAGACAGAGAAGAAGGGGAGGAATGATGTATACTGCATTGCAACAGAAGAGGGAGAGAACTGTTTAAAAGGGATATACGATTAGGTATTATTGTCATGACAGGAGTCCAGAATGAAGGCTACAGAGTGCAGTGGGCTTGGAGGGGTGGATTGCATAGCAATGAAAGAGTTTTTTTTTCATTCATCAAGGAGAGAAGTTAATTCGGGGGGGGGAGGGGTGGGCAGGGAAAAAAGAGCAACAAGGAATGACTGGAAACCCTAAGTTTCTGTAAACTTTCATTAAAATAAAAAAACTAAAGTATCACAGATTCTTATTTTCTTACAATCATAGCGACATAATAAATTAGATATTCTAATAGGGTTTTTTTCTAGCTACTAACTTTTTCTTTGTATCATACAGTATACTTAATTGATAAAGTCTGTTCTAGTTGTAAGTTATATTTGTTCATAGTTGTGTTGTTGTTGTTGTTGTTGTTATGTGCCGTCAAGTCGCTTGCGACTCATAGCGACCCTATGTACAACAACCCTAAACCCTGCTCTATCTTGTGCCAATCGCATGGCCTCTGACACACCCATCCCGATTACCCCGGTCACTGAATCAATCCACCTCATAGAGGGCCTTCCCCTCCTGTGCTGTCCCTCCACCCTACCAAGCATGATGTCCCTCTCCAAGGACCTGTCACTCCTTACAACATGTCCAAAGTATGTCAGATGAAGCCCCAGAATCCTTGCCTCCAAGGAGTAGCCTGGTTTAACCCTCTCCAGGATGAATCTGCTTGTTTTCTATAGAGCTACCAATTTTCGCAAAATCTAAAAAAAAACAAAAACAGTGGTGTGTTCCCTTGGCAGGCCATGGAATAATCAGTACTCTTCTCCAACACCACAACTCAAAGACATTGATTCTATTTCTGTCATCCATAGACAATGTCCAACTTTTAGAGGCATATGAAGTTTTATTCAGGTGCACCTTAGTTTTTAAACTAACATTGCTCCTTAGAACTTTGGAGAGGTCCTTGACAGCAGATTTCCCCAATGAAATATATCTTCTGATCTCTTGACGGCTGTTACCAAGGGTGTTGATTGTGTATCCATGTCAGATGAAATCATTGACAACTTCAAACTTTTCTTCATCTATCATGATGTTGTCTACTGGCCCAGTGGCAAGGACTTTTATTTTCTTGATAAGGAGCTATAATTTCTACTGAAGGCTGCAATTCTTGATCTTGGCAGCAAATGTTTCAAGTCCTGTTCACTTTCAGTAAGCAAGATTATTGTCATTTGCACAAATGGTTGTTGAGGAGATTTCCTTCACATTCCTTTTCATAAAATTTAGCTTTTGAGCTTCTCAGCACATAGATTAAATAGGTGTGGAGATTGGATACAGCCCTGATGCACACCTTTTGTGATTTTAAACTATGTATACCTATACTTGGACCAAGAGGCAGTCGTCAGAACAGAGCAAGGAAACACTGCATGGTTCAAAATTGGGAAGGGCGTATGCCAGGGATTTGTCCTGTTTCCACACCTTTTCAGCCTGTATGCAGAACAGATTATCTGGGAGGCTGGGATCTATGAGGAGAAATGCGGCATCAGGATTGGTGGAAGATATATCAACAATCTGTGTTATGTAGATGACACAACCCTGCTTGCTGAAACTAAGGAGGACCTGAAGCGCTTGCTGCAGAAGGTCAAGAACTGCAGTCTCCAATATGGATTGAGGCTCAATGTCAAGAAGACAAAGATTCTCACCACTGGGCCAATTGGCAGTGTCAGGATGGATGGTGAAGAGATTGAGATTGTTCACAGCTTTAGTTTGCTTGGCTCCACAGTCAACACTCTTGGCACCAGTAGCCAGGAAATTAAAAGGTGTATTGCCATGGGAAAGTCTGCTGTTAGGGACCTCTCCAAAGTACTGAAGAGCAATGGTGTCTCTCTAGAGACTAAAGTGCGTCTGATACAGGCCATGGTCTTTGAGATCACTTGTTATCAGAGTTGGACAATGACTAGGGAGAATAGAAGGAGAATTGATGCCTTTGAGCTTTGGTGTTGGAGAAGCGTATTGAGGGTACCATGGACTGCTAAGAAAACAAACAGGTTCATCCTACAGAGGGTTAAACCAGGCTGCTCCTTGGAGGCAAGCATTCTGAGGCTTCGTCTGACATACTTTGGTCATGTTGTAAGGAGGGACAGGTTCTTGGAGAACATAATGCTTGGGAGGGTGAAGGGCAGGCACAGGAGGGGAAGGCCCTCTAGGAGGTGGATTGATTTGGTGACTGGGGTAATTGGGATGGGTGTGTCAGAGACAGTGAGATTGGCACAGGACCGAGCAGAGTTTAGGGCTGTTGTACATAGGGTCGCCATAAGTTGCAAACGACTCAATGGCACATAACAACAACAACAACAGTGTTCCCTTGCTCCATTCTCACAACAGTCTCTCAGTCAACGTGTAGGTTTCACATGAGCACAAGTAAGTATTCCAGAATTTTCATTCTTCTCAAGGTTAGCCATAGTTTGTTATGATCCACACAGGAAAAGGCTTAGCAGCATTAATTCTGTTTTTCAACGTTTATTAAACAAAGGGGTGATTACAGAGCTTCTAGGGTTGTGTGTGTGTGTGTGTGTGTGTGTGTGTGTGTGTGTGTGTGTTTTGCTCTGGAGGTACCCTGCGTAACACTAATTCCAGCACCACAGGGAATTCAGGCCCTATCAACTTCACCAGAGAAAAATCACCCATTGGCTGCCCATCTCGTGAAGCAGGCGGAGACAGAGAGAAATCATTTTACACCAAACCCACAGGGTTCCCCCAACTCCACCAAGTCTAGTAAGACCTCCAACCCTGAAGACATGAAGGGCTTAATAAACTTCCATGTTCCACTTTCCCTACACAAGCCTGTATGTACAGAAGCATTTATAAGAACAAAGAGCTTAAACAGTCACTTGGCTTCTCTGTGCTGCAAGCAGCATGGGCCTTCCATTCATCCTGCAAGGAGCCTGCTGCCCGTTAACAGATATCAATCTCATACGCTGTGCAGCCAGCACCACTATTTTCTTCTCAATCTATTTTGCCTGTCACATCTCCCATGGGCAGATTGGAAAATATGTGGTAATTATATATTGATATAATGTGAGGACAGCTTATGTATGAACCTGCTGCACTTGGCTTCCTTATTAACCAGCTACAATGTGCTCGGTGGGATTCCCCATTGCTTTTTAAGAAATCTCAAGAGCTGAGAACTGATTTTTGTGTTTATCATTTTCTCCTTGCTTACCAAATTTTTCTAGCTATACCAGAACTTCGAGTTTTCAGTGCCAGAGTGGGGCTTGGAGGCACAGCACAGGGGTCTTCCTCGCTCAGCAGGGTCTTTAAAATCAGCCGCCAGCCACAGTAAGCAAGCAGCTTCTGGACAAACACAACCGCATCAGGCGCCTGGTCCCCTGCTCGTCTAGGTAAGAAAGTGTTAGTAAGAAAAGTATTTATTAAGCCAGAGTCATTCATTAGATCTTATTTGTGAACCACCAGTAAAAAATAAAATGTAAAACCAAACTCATTTCAATCAATTGCAACTAAATCATGACAGGGAACTTCCAGAAGTCCAAGCTGGTTTAGAAGAGGCTGTGGCACCAGGGCTATCATTGCTTATGTCAGACGAACCCTGGGTGACAGCAGAAAATAGCAAAAGAATGTCTGTTCATGTTTTATTGACTGTGTAACTGACAGTGTGGATCATAGCAAGTTATAGCTAACATTGAGAAGAATGAGAATCTCAGAACACTTAATTGTGTTCTTACACAATCTATAACTAGGCCAAGAAGTTGTCATCCAAGTGGGGCAAGGGAACACTGCATGATTTAAATCAGAGTTGTATCCATTCCCCATGCCTATTCAATTTGTACACTGAGCAAATAATTCACGAAACTTGAGTCTGTGAAGAAGAATGTGTCATTAAGACTGGAGGAAGACTCATCAACAACCTACCTTATACAGATGAAACAACTTTGCTTGCTGAAAGTGAGGAGGAAATGAAGCACTTGCTGCAGAAGGTCAAAGACTGCCTTCAGTATGGATTATATCTCAAAAACAAGAAAGCAAAGGTCCTCATCATGGGGCTAACAGTTAAGATCATGATAAATGGGAAAACTGTTGATGCTGTCAATGATTTTCATCTTGCTTGGATCAACAATCAGCACCCTTGGTACCAGCAGCCAAGAAATCAAGAGACGTATTGCATCAGGCAAGTCCATTTTCAGGGACCTTTCCAAAATACTGAAGAGCAATGATGTCAGTTAAAGACTAAGGTGTGCCTGATTCAGGTCACAATCTTCTCAATCACCCACTACGCATCAGAGAGGTGGACAATAAATAAGGATGGCAGAAGAATTGATGCCTTTGAATTGTGATGTTGGAGAAGATCACTGAATATCCCATGGACAATCAAAAGAATAAACAGATATTTCTTGGAAGAGGTGCAGCGAGTGTGGTCCTTGGAAGCAATAATAGTGAAGATAGATCTTTCATACTTTGGACACGTAGTGAGGAAAGGCTATTCCTTGGAAAGATGGAGGTTTGGTGAAGGAGAGGAAAACCCCCAACAAGAAGGATTGACACGTTGATTTCATTAATGAGTTGTAGTGTGTCAGAGGTGATGAGGACGGCACAGGATAGAGAAGGTTACAGGTTGGCTGTTCATAGGGTTGCTGTGAGTCATAATTGACCCAATGGTGCAACAACAACAACATGGTAACCTCGTGTAGGATTTCCAGTAGCTGAGTTAATGGATTTAGATCACCAGACCTTTCTTCTGAGCTACCACTGGACATACTCAAGTCCTTGACATTTGAATTTGTGACAAACACATTAACTATTCGGACCATCTAGGGACTCACAAATACAAATCTCTTTTTTTCAAGTAACTTAGAACACTATTTCAGGAAGAAGAAGGGCAATCTCTGCCAGTGCAAATTATTGTTGTTAGCCTCTCCTCGCAATCTTCTATAGCAATCTCCATGCTTACAGCCTCTGAAAATCCACTGTTATATAACTGTCAGCTATGACTTGATGAAACAAAACAATGACAACAGAACACTGTGCATTTAATGATAGGTTTTCATAACAAACTCCAGTGACACTCAAATGTGAGGGAGCACTTTTGAAAGTGTTATAGCTTCTGATTGCCTAGGCAGAGAGAGATGGGAAGCAGCTAGTGACAAAAACATTTGCGGGTGGAGGTGCAAAATAAGAGGTCAGTTCTGTCCAGTCAATTTCAACCCATGGTGATCCTGTCTGTCAGAGGAGAACTGCGCTCCAGACTGTTTTCTGTTCCAGTGACTCAATAGGATTGCTTCCTATCTGCATCTGGATGGACTTGAACTTTCAATCATTTAGCAATAGAGCACAGGGACTGACCCAACCACCCAGAGATGCCACTCCCAGTATTAAATGATCTCAATGGATTTTGATGGAACACCGGTTGATATATTTCAACAAACAGATACCACCCTGGATGTGCTCACCAGGTTGTGTCAAGAAATCTGGAGGACAACTACCTAGCCAACTGACTAGAAGTGATCCATATCTATACTCTTCCAAAAAAAACAGGTAGCCCAATAGAATGTGGAAATTATTGAACAACATCACATGCAAGCAAAACCCTGCTGAAGATTATCCAAAAATGACAGGAACAGTACATTGACAGAAAATTACCAAGAATACAAGCTGAGTTTAGAAGAGGTCGTGACACTAGAGACATTATCACCAATGTCAGATGGATAGTGGCCAAAAGCAGAGTTCCAGAGGAATGTCTATCTGTGTTTCATTGACAATACAAAGGCATTTGACTGGGTGGATCACAGCAAATTGTGGTTAACTTTGAGGAGAATAGGAATCCTGAACACTTGATTGTGCTCATGTGAAACCCAACTTGAACCACAAAACAGTGATCAGAACAGAACAAGGAAACACAGCATGATTCAAAATCAGGGGGGGAAAACATGCGAGGGATGCATCTTGTCTCTATATCTTTTCAATCTATATTTGGAACAGATCATTAAGGAAGCTGGACTTGATGAGGAGGAATATGGTATTAGGATTGGAGGAAGACTCATCAACAACTCGTGTTATGCAGATGACACAATCTTGCTTACTGAAACTGAGGAGGACCTGAAGTATTTGCTGCAGAATGTCAAGGATTGTAGTCTTGAATATGGATTCAATATGAAGCTCAACATCAAGATTTGCCCCATTGGGCCAACTGACAGGACCATGGTAGATGGAGAAAACATTGAAGTTGTTAACAATTACAGTTTGCTCGGCTCCACAATCAACAATCTTGGCTCTAGCAGTCAAGAAATCAAAACATGAATCGCATTGGGGAAGTCTGCTGTCAGAGACCTCTCCAAAGTGCTGAATTTGCAATTACTTATGATGTATCAGAGAGCTGGACAGTGACTAAGGATGATAGAAGAATTGATGCCTTTGATTTGTGGTGCTGGAGAAGAGTATTGAACATACCATGAACCCCCCAAGTGAGGAGATAGGTCTGTCTTGGAGATGGTGGAGGGATAGTGCAGGAGAGCAAGACCCCGATCGGACGGATCAACATGGTAAACGGGGCAATGGGATTGGATGTGTCAGAGTCAGTGGCTCAGGATAAAGCAGAGTTCAGAGCTGTTGTACCTAAGATCACCATGAGTCACAGGCAACGTAATGGCACATAACCACAACAAATGGATTTTAGGTCTCAAGAGGCATGAAAAATACTAGAACAATTTAGACCATCTACTGAAGGAACTCTGGTGGCCTAGTGGCAAGAAGCTATGCTGCAATCCTGAAGGCACATAGTTCGAGGCCACCAGCTGCTCCATGGGAGAAGGATGGGCAATGTCTTCATGTGTGATTAACTGGCTCTTGAAAACCTGCTGGACGACCAGCTATAGGTCAGTTCTGACTCCATGGTACACAACAACAACAACAACAACTGAGGGTAAATATCTGGCTGGCCATCCAAAGACTGTTATTTCACTCAACAAACATGATTCAGCATTTCCTGGGGGCTCAATGACACCGATTTCCACTTGGATCTCAATCTTCCCTTCTCTCCTGACACTCCATCCCTCCATCACATGATGGCAAGCAGCAGGTTGCTGGGCAGTGTCCTTTCATCAACATTTTCCTACCAGCTTGGCCGCCCAATAGGCTGGCTAACCTTTGACAGGGCTTGTCCTCATGGTCCCCATCTTACCTGGAAAAATAGGAGGATGTAGTAGGAGACTTTTTAAATCTTATCTTACTATGACACATGGCTGAGTGCATAGGAAGAACCCACCAACATCAGTAGCTGTTCCCAGCATGATCCATTCTGTGTGTAACCCAAGGTAACTGAGCCAGTTCCTGCCAAAAAGCCCTGCAAAGGGATCTGGAATCAAGGACTTGCCCTTGAGAGTGGACTTGCATGATTAAAAATTCAAGTCCAGAAGTCACAGTCTAATTTATCAAATACAACCTTTTCCACCACCACGCCTTAAAAAAAACAAAACAACAACAACAACAGAAAACCCCTCGCTAGTGTAACTGTAGTAATAAAGTAATTAGGGAAGCATATTCCCTCTAAAATGAAACCACCAATACTGTAACTTCCAGTTAAATTTAATTACTGCCTAATTTCCTTTACAATAGATGACCTAGTTTTGGACGATATCCTCAGAAAAGAGATTATGTGCAGGTATAAAAATTGGCCGTATCTTAGGGAAGCAGAGAGATAATTTTTCCCGGCTCAGCTAATCCATCCAGATATAAATGTGTGTGAGGTGGGTGGAGAAGATACAGCCCTTCGGAGGACAAATGATAGTTTCTCACACAAAGGCCAAAGCAGCGAGTGACCTACCATACGTGCCTCTAACCCAAAATAATCCCAAAGAGACCAGATCTACATGTCTGACACTTGCTGACCCACTGGTGGAGGGCAGCCTCGGGCATCCTGTTGGTACAGCCAGGACTCTCTGCTGTCACCTCACTCCAGACAAGGGAGGGGCCTGGCACAGAGCAGCCCATCAGGGCCCCAGGAGAACAGGAAGGATCTGGACTTGGCTTCACTGCCAACCAAAGTCATCCCAGACTGAGAGATGGCGATAAGAATGAATGGGCAGCAGTAACCAGGAGATCCTCATTTCTACATGATTTCCTATAATTAATTAAAGAGAGGTAGGGGAAAGCCCATCGACTCTAAGAGCTCAGAGGCTGGTAAGAGAATAAATACTTAAAAAGCAATGGCAATGTTGGTGGTGTTGTTAGATCCCATCCAGTCAAGCACAACTCATAGTGACCCTATAAACAACAGACCTGAACTCTGTCCTAGTCCTCATCATCTTTGATGTACCTGAGCCTATTGCTGCAGTCACTGTGTCAGCCCACCATATTGGACTTTTGCTGATCCTCTGTCTTTTCAAGCATC